TGAGGCAGCTCGTCACCCCCTGGATCACGAACAGTCCTGTTAACGGGAGGTAATGTTACCAAGGGTGCATCTCGTCCCCCTTGTAGCAGGAACAGTCCTGTTAACGGGAGGTAATGTTACCAAGGGTGCATCTCGTCACCCTTGTAGCAGGAACTCCTGTTAACGGGAGGTAATGTTACCAAGGGTGCATCTCGTCACCCTTGTAGCAGGAACTCCTGTTAACGGGAGGTAATGTTACCAAGGGTGCATCTCGTCACCCTTGTAGCAGGAACTCCTGTTAACGGGAGGTAATGTTACCAAGGGTGCATCTCGTCACCCTTGTAGCAGGAACTCCTGTTAAACGGGAGGTAATGTTACCAAGGGTGCATCTCGTCACCCTTGTAGCAGGAACAGTCCTGTTAACGGGAGGTAATGTTACCAAGGGTGCATCTCGTCACCCTTGTAGCAGGAACAGTCCTGTTAACGGGAGATAATTACCACGGCTCGAGGAAAGCCGTGATAACAAGATAGCGCCCGGATGTAAACAAGGCACTTAAAGAGGTCGCCAGATAAAAGTGAATACGATTAAATATTCTGTCTTACACATTGACTGCGACATATTGCAAGAGATCCAGCTAGATGCTAATGGTGCCTCCCCCTACCACCCCTTTCGTGGGGGGGATAGTGCCCCATAGTGGCACCTCTAACAACGCCACACATGTGTAACAATTACAATATGTCACACATCTCTGAGATGTGTTCCAGCTCTAAACTAACACAGCTCCTAACATTACAACGCTCTATAATGACGCTGCTCTAACATCCCACAACTCTAACATACCACAGATATATATAATATATGTGTATATCACGAAAATAAACACGTGATTAAAGATGTGACAGTGTCAGACCACGGAGGAAAAATTGAAACAGGAATTTCCTTAAGTACTTTCGTATATTAATACATCTTCAGAAGGAGTATTAATATACGAAAGTACTTAAGAAAATTCCTGTTTCAATTTTCCTCCGTGGTCTGACACTGTCATATGTAATATATATAATTATATAATATATTTGAAACATTTAAAGACTAATGTATCGCTACGACATATCTGTCAATTCGTTTGTCCATTTAATGTCTGCTTATTTTTCTCTCAATTTATTGTTAACTCACCAGGGTCGACAATAGGCTTGGTGGCCCCACTGCCCACCACCACCACCACAGCCGCCGCCACACGCCACCACCACATCTGTGTGGGTAGAAATGATCGGAATTAATATATTTAAATACCTAATAAAACACAACAAAAGAGGAAGGGGGGGACCTTACCTTGAGGTGCTTCCGGGGCTTAGTGTCCCCGCGGCCCGGTCATCGACCAGGCCTCCTAGGAGGGTAGTAGGGGGAAAAAATGATAGGAACTGTATTGTAGGGGACCTAAACATTCCCTCTAATGGGTTATGTGTGCTTTCCTCCGAGGCTAAGGGTCCCCTTTCGTCCAGCCAGTGGTGGTACTCCCTTCCATTTATTCTTAATATATATGTATGTTTATATGTAGCAAAGGAACTACTTAAGCTCAGAGTAATTAGTGACTAATTGCTCTGAGCTGGAGAGGTCGAAAATTCCAACTGGATAGCTGTTAGTTGCTTCTTGGAAGTCTTCCTTATTAAGGCCACTCATAGCACGCTTGATATAGAGCTTCTGGCTCACGCTCGTGGGTCGACGGTTCGAGACTCCTATAGTGCTCAGGTGAATGAAATGGTTATTTCTCTGTAGTGTAGTTGACAGTTTATTGCTATATTGGGGCCGGTGGTTCCCACTACAGCAACAATAACATCCTTAACACCAGTAACATCACTAACAACATCGGTAACTTTAACAACAAGATTCTCAAAAACACCAACACATCATCTTCAACAACATTAACAACATCTTCAACAACATTACAACATCTTCAACAACATTAACAACAACATTAACAACCTCCACACAAACAACATTAACAACCTCCACAACATCTTCAACAACATTAACAACATCTTCAACAACATTAACAACAACATTAACAACCTCCACAACAACATTAACAACTCCACAACATCTTCAACAACATTAACAACATCTTCAACAACATTAACAACAACTCCACAAACATTAACAACATTAACAACAACCTCCACAACAACATTAACAACAACCTTAACAACCTCCACAACAACATTAACAACCTCCACAACATCTTCAACAACATTAACAACCTCCACAACATCTTCAACAACATTAACAACATTAACAACCTCCACAACAACATTAACAACCTCCACAACAGCTTCAACAACATTAACAACAGCTTCAACAAGAACATACACCACAAGAAGACTAACAACATCAGTAATTAACAACAACAACATTTGGGTTGTATTATGTTTTTTTTTCACACTTGTTCTGTAACAAAAATAAAAGTAAATAGAGTAAGCTTTAAATGGGAACTTTTAGTTATGAAATCATTAAGTGGGAACGTTC